ATAACAGATCTCACTGCAGATTTTTAAAAAAATTAAAAAAAAAATTTTGATTCTATATTTTCGACTTCTTTTTCCGCGTAGAATCACCCCCTTTCCGCTTGTATCACCAGTTACCAACCACCCTGTATAATAATTACAAGATACTTCAAGATAGTTTAGAACAGAGGAAATGGTTTTAGAGAATTTCCAATATTCTTTCACATATTTCTTTACATTTCGAAGTCCATAATGAGTTCATTTGTAAATTAAGATGTATAGTCTTTTACAAATATGGTCTGTATATGGATATAATGCCATTTGTATAACAGTAGTGTCAACGCGCGATGACATTTCAATCTGTATTCAGTTTCTGCGCAGTCCCGCGATATTTAACACTCAGCGAGGAAGAGAGATAAGGAAACTTTCTCGCACAATGCGTCAACTTTGCTTTTTCCATCGAGTTTTACCGACGGATACGTCTGTACCCAGATACGATACAGATTACACGATACATCAATGCCGCTTTTACGCAACCCGTATCCGACTGAATTTCCCTTAGGTTGTGATATTTGCATGCGGGTCATTATTAAACGTGTGCGTGTGCGACACAAAGAACATCGACGGTTGTTTTCATTTCGCCTCGATTTTCCATTCATCGAAGCGACAAAGTTATCGTGAAAATTTACAGGGAAAATGAAAGTGGCATATTATAGCCAGAAAGATTAAAAATTTCATTTTTTTTAGTAGAGAGGAAAATAAATATTTGGGACGCCGTGCTTGGATATAAAACAAATATTTTTTACAACATACATTTTAAAAACACACCTACCATAAACATTTTTACTTAACTAAACACTCAACTCTTATATCCTTCCAACCATCGACTCACAACTTCCAACAATTACAATTCTGCATTATCATATCAATGAACCTATCGCTTGTCCCAATGTTTGTCGAGTTTACTCCCGATTCCATTCGCATAATCAACAACATCCTGATTAACGATACGTACCATCGTATGGCGGGCGTATTGATGTTCGGCAGGGTTCAAAGCCTGGCAGAGAGTAAGATTGGCAGGTTCAGGGTTGAGGAAAGAATCGGTCTGGTTTACGTTATTCAGGGTGCAACAGCTGAGAGGCACCACTAATTCTCGTCGACCAACTTCCTGTAGTCGCCACCACGAGGTACCGTAATTGCTACTTCCGTTTATGCCGCAGCAAGCAAACTGAAAAGATCCACGCAGTTTCACATCGGAAGGTGTGTACTGTGTGACTGCCTTTTGCCAGTCGATTAATCAAACAATGACCAGTTTCGAAGAATCAAAGTAAACGCTCATGAGATTGGATCGATCGTCGATCATGTGCATCGGGACTATCTTTGTTAACTCGTTACAAATCGCTTTACCTCAGGGGTATAGTTGTTCGCGAAAATATTCGATCACATGCAAAAACCTTTTGCAAATGTATTACATGTCTCATACGAAATATTTTGAAATTTCACTAACGCTGTAACAAGACTCGTTTATCATGTTTGTACGAACCTCTCATAAGTCAAATTGATCAACTACGTTTTCAAAAAATAGTATTTGTAATTGAGTTAATTAATATTTAGATGATAGTTTATATCAGGTAACTAAGCAAATTCGCGCTGTTTCTATGTCTCTACTGAATAAAATAACATAAATTTCTTTGATTATCTAATATTAATGAGATTATGTTTAACGGTTACTATATTCTTACGATGGCAATTCAAGCTAATTTATTACTAAATATATGTTTGCAATAAAAATCTTGCAACATGTACATCCGACTCCGTACATCTTCGGTTCAAAATTTCAGAACATTTTATGTAAGACGCACGATATATGCATAAAAATGAATCACTGTATATGGGAACGTACCGCTGTTTGCGCGAGATCAAGAGCTGCTGTGAATTGCTCTCGACCAGGAACAGCGTAACTACGTTGCAAAGCTCGTATCAATCGTGCTGGTCGAACATCAATGCCCAGAACGTGAGGCCAGAATACCACTAGAACGCACACAGTGCATTCGCCAAGTAATAGCAGGATTATCGTGATGAGATACTGAAAAAATACAGAGTAAAATGTAATGAGTGAAGTAATTAAGAGGCAGTAGCAAGAAGCAAACAGTACGAATGAAAGGTAAAAATGTAAAGTAAAAAGTAACGAGTGATATAATTAAGAGATAGTACTTGAATGGTTTACCGGTTATTGAATATTTAATGTTGGAATCGTTTAGTTGTATTTTCGCGGTGTATGAAACAATGCAATTCTTATTATTCCGTGCTACCACGTGATACAAATGTATGTGTATTCATATATTAAGTACATGAAGTTAATTGACTGGTGATAATAATGTATTATACATATTTATATGATCAACTGTTATAATTATTTATAATTGTTAAATGATCGAGTTAACTTCTGTAATATGTTATATGAGAAAGTAATTTAGTATAGTTGTTACGTTGTACTTTTTGGGAGTACTACGCTTATTTATTTCAATTTCCAAGCAATGCTCTCTTAATCGCTTGAAACGGTACAGTTGCTAGATAAATTACTCTAATGCATTTCACCTACTTTAATCCTTTAATGAGAAAAGGAAACGTTTGTCAGAAAAATGCCACTGATAATGTCTATATGTCCACTAACTGATTCTGTTCGTTGGAATTAAAGCTGTATGGATGCAAGTTCAAATTCAAATGTGTCAATCTCGTAATCACATAAAAACGAAACCATTCTATTCTATAATTTCAAATTAAATAACTATAATTTTTAATTGAATCGAATTAAATAATATTTTCAAATCATACACGTATCCCATCATACCTCATCGTCATATTATGAATTTGCAAATCATATGTAACAAGAAAATACTGTTAAAAATGAGAATGCATGTGTATCTCTCATCAACACCATTTACAAGTGAAACAGGAGAAGCACGTCTCGTTCGTTGACTCAGACGGTCACACCTTCTACCTGCATCTTGTTACCAGACTGTTACTAATAAAAAGTTGGATCTCCGTGTATTCGCAGCTAATTGACCTTCCATAACTTTCACGTCGTCACTTATTTGAATTTTACATCCTGACACAAACGTTCAATAGCCTACAAACATATTGTATTTTCACATGTTATTACGCGTTCGCTCGTCTAATAAGCCACACACTGAAAAATAATTGCTGTTTTTACGTGATACGCGAACGCGCCCTCCTTCCGTGAGCACGCGTGCCTGGATTTATGTAGATCCGTTTCCGGGCAACGACGCGTGACCATAGTCCGGCAAAGCGGGAAATCTGGTTTCGGTTTGGTCTGTCGAGCGAGCTCCCCGACGAAGAAGCGCGTGAAGACCTTGACTTTTGCACGATTAAAATGCACGACTACTTTAGAAGCGTGTTCAGACTGTAACGCGGCATAATACAAAATAACTATAGAAATAACCATAGATCGCTCGTAAATTTGGAATTTTATTGTGGATATCGATTTTGAGGATGTGAAAGTTAATACAGGATGTCAGAGAATTATCATTGTAATATGTTTCTGCGTAGATATATCGCTGATATTTCAATGGGAAATAATGCTTCTGCATATAATGCTTAATGCTTCTTAGACTTTGTATAGCATGTGAATTTTTAATTTTTTAAATCGATTTTCTATTTAGTATTCTAATTTTAACATTCAGGTGTATTAGATTTTTTAAAGTACATTGAGAAATAATATAAAAATCGTAATCGATCCTTTAAGTACTTCACTAATGTGAATAACACTTGGAAACCATCTGGTCTACTGTTGCGTATACAAGGGAAATTTATGGATTCTTACTGAAACTGTAACGCATCGATTATAGAGACAAGTTGCCCAGCATCCTAGCAAACCCGTGAGCGTGATCAGAAATCCAAGTCCAACGACTGCAAATGCCATGTAATAAAAAAGTGGTTGATCAGGATGTATATCCCCTGGTCCCAATAAACGTGACAGTAGAATACGTTCATCATCGGCTAATAACAATGCTCCTAATGACATCAACGCGAAACCTGATATCTGAAAACGAAGGCAACATCCTTAAATTGCAATAATCGTCATCTTTAAAATAAAGCTTTAATAATTTTTAATTTGAAAAAAATATTCGTTTACTCTTGCAATAAAAAAAAATAGGAAAAACTGGATACTTTATTCATCTTATAATGGTAATCCAAAAAATGAACTCATTTATTTTTCCACAACTCACCAGGAAAATGACATTTGTGCAACACACGAAAATTCGCGACACACCAAAGTTTTTCCTTTCCATTTTAATTCATTAAATCCTTTTCTATCTGAACGCGTATGCGACAGCAACGAAAGAATGACAACTCGTCACGTCAATCCCCCACGATGACACTTCATTAATAGTCGCGATAAATAAGAACATTAACGCGCAGGATAAAATTCATTTTAGTTCCTTTTTTTACGATCCTATCACCGACGATATTTTCTTTTTTTCCCTTATCAATTTCGAAGCGCACTTGCTCGCATTAACTTGAAGACTGAAATGCCGCCGCGTGATAGATAGTTCCACAGTGCCGTACAAATACTGGCATCTGTAGGTGCGCTTGCGTTACGCGTGTCCTCATGCGCGACCGACCGGATGGAACCGGAAGGAAATAGAAAGGCACGAAACAAAAAAGGACACGCAGGAGGGGGTGAAATGTCCATATGCATGTACTTATGTGATCGTTACAGATATAACTGGTATACGGGCCAACTTCACACAGGGGGAGTTACAGCTAATCGGTGTAATCGTTACGGATGAGTAATACTCGACTAGTTTATTTCCGTTCACATTCGTGAAAATTTTATTCTTATGTTCGATTCGTAAAAAATGAAATTCGAAAATGCAAGTTAGTGGTAATTAACTACGATAATGAACATTTAACTATGATATTATAATTTCATGAATAACTGGAGCATAATTCAATTGACTTTCTAAATATTTTTGTTGAAATCGAGTAAGACCCTAGTTATGCAAAAATGATTTTTATTAACAATTATAATATTAATATTTTTAATATTTATAATAAAATTTACTTTTGATATGATACCGTAGAGTAGGTAGGCGTGTCATGCGTATTATTGTGTGTTCACGAAGCCTATCTCCTCCCGTCTACATTAATTCACGCGGCGTACTATGTACTTCTGACTCAAATATTACGTATTACACTCGTCTGTAGTTACTTATCAGCAAAAAGCTTTTACAAGCAAAAGCCGAGAGGACAGGAGAATAATTCTTTATACAAAGGAATTGTTTTAAACGTACAACATTATACTTTCTTAAAAATCTAAGCTCTTATGTGGTGAACTAGAACATCCGAACTGAGATATCGTTTCATCTTGTTCTCGTTGAGTAGTATCTCCTAATTCAGGTGGTAGGTGTAAAACCTAAAATAAAACGGCGAAGATACATACACATAGCCAAACTCTAATTTTGTTATATTTATAAAGTCAGTTTACCTCGATGACAAATTTCTTTCGACGTAATTTGAATACAAGATCTCGTGATTCTGGATTATGAGGTGCTATAGTATTTAAAGCCAGCATCTTCTGTAGATGCAATAAGCCATGATAATCCTTAAATAATGGGTTTGTTTCTTTTTGTGAACCTGCAAATGATTCCAATTTAATTGCAACATCCGACAAGTGTTCAATCCGTTGTGCAGTAGCATCCTAAAAATTAATAACAATGAAAAAATGAATATATATTTACATAAAAGGTTTAATAAATAAAGTACATAAATATGAAACGCACCGAATTTTCAAAGCATTCTGTAGGCACTGTTATCACTGCAACTGCATAAGAATATCTTAAAAGAGCTCTAAAGTAATACAAAAATTTGAACAAATCTTGATGTGAATCATTTACAGAATCACTGCACCATAATCTAGATCCTAAGGAATGAATTGCAATTCTTAGAACTTGTCTTTTTGTAGGTGTCTCTGAAATTGAGTGTCCTCCCTTCTTCAGAGTCTCTTGAATACATTTTAATAAGTTTGAATATGTCATATTGTTAAAGGCATTGTCTTTTTTAGGACAATTATCATCGTACCACTGTGTTATATCTGCTTTTTCGATTACTTCTTTTTCCATCCTTTTTGTAAGGTCATAGAAATGACCAAAAGCTTGTCCTCCAGTTGGGGAGGTATCAATTATTTTCATATTTTGATACCTCCAAGCAATCTTCATTTGCTCATCAGAATTGGGTGATTGATCATTTGATGTGGTGTCTGTTACAACAGCTGGTATTTCTGACACAAACTGTGATGTTTCAACATCTTTAGATCCAATTAATAATGGTTGAGCTGTAACTACGCCTTCAGCCATAAAATATTTTAACATGACTTTTGCATATGTGCCATATCGATCTTCCTCTAAAAATTGAAGTCATTTTGTTCATTTTATTCGTATGTAAATTTTCATAAGATAAGCATATTTATTACATACCAATAAGAAACAAAGAACCAACAGGTAATCCTCCACCTAAAAGAATAGATTGAAATGCATTAATATGATAAAAAATCATAATAAAAATTGTATTGTTGCAAATAAATTCAAACCTATTATATGATCTAAGGAAGGAATTCCAGTCGAAACGAGTAGTTGTGAATTCTTTATTGAGGGTTTCGTTCCCGGTATAAAGGGAATTCTGCTACCTTTTCCTGCAGTTAGATCCATTTTTCAAAACTATTTCTGAACTAAAAAATGACGATACAGTTTATTTAGTATCTGTATCTTACTAACAATATTAATTCTTTTCATAAAAAACACTTACTTCACGCATAACAGTAAATATTCCATACACAAAATAACAATACGAAGCCAAAGCTATTTAAGATAAAACTTTAGTAAAAAAAGTGACTGTTTACGACGGATTTTGATTTACGTATCGTAACAACTTCGTCTACATTTGGAGGTTATGTTTATACGCATCATATAATATATTCCATATATTATTAAAATATAACATATAACATGTGTTGAACAATGGAATTATCGAAACGTATGCGACTAAATTATAAAAAATCAAAAATTTACAAAAATGAGTTGTTTATCAAACGAGGTAGAAAATTTTATTACGGTAAATAGACAAAAGATGGCAGTACATACAGCTGGTTTACAGTCGGTAGCTGACGCCTTTCATAGTTTGTAATTCTCCAGCTAGAATGCAGTCATATCAATAATTTTAATTAATAAACTATAATTTTGATTACAAAATCGATTATATTCATTACACATAATTCTTTCCATAAAAGACTGATTGTTTCTGTTGTTTAAATTATATATCTATCCTTTAATGTATACATAACTTCATTAAAAGTCTTTGAAACCTTTATGTAATCTAAATAATTATGTGTGCGATTTTAAGTTCTAATATGCATTATTTATCTCCCATATAATGTCTACAACAATAAAACCAATTTATTTGATTTGTTAATAATCAAGCATGCTATGCGTACTGACACAAATAGCTAAAAAATTGATAGAAATTATCAAAAATACATTTAAAAATACTAATAAAACATAAAGGTAAAAATATCACAAACATTCCTCAAACACTTTTGTATTATACAAAATAATTTTCAGATGAAACGACAAACTATGGAAACGCGTCCCTACATTAGAGTTAGAGGGGAGCAGTCCATAGCGGGGTAATGGAATACGTAAGTGTAGGAGAAAGGGAGAAGGACATAGTCTAGAAAGAAGACAGAGAAGGAGCAAAGGGAACGCGTGAGTAACCCGTCTCGTGCATGTAGATTGTAGATTCAAAGCTGTGGCGCTGTGGCACGGGCAGTTGTGCACAGGCACGGTGCGGAGGTATCCGACCAAGAGTGAAAAACCCCTCTCTGTTACTATCCCATCTTTCTCTCTTTCTAGCATATCTCACTCGGCCGCCTTCCTTCTACTTCTCCTACTTCTCCTACCATTTCCCCTTCCATTGGCGTGTTTTCTTTTTTCAGCACACTCGTGCCGATCTATCGATCTCTCGCTCGCTCTCCCAGTCTTTTCCTTTCTTTCTACAGAGGCCGCAGCACGCTGCCCTCGCTCAACTACCTGTTGTGACGTCCAACGTGCACTCGACGACGCACCGGGACAATCGAAAGATTCAGCGCACGCGGCATACGCTGCTGTTTTCCGTGTAATACCGTATATACTGTTCCTCATGGTCGGTAGAGACAGTAGAACGCTCGCACACCGGCCTCCGCGCGCAGAAAGTCTTTCGTTGGTAAAGCGTGTGCCTGATCCGCGAACCAGAGCTGATATTACCCCGCGAAAAGCTTGTCCCATACTCCCACTACGATCTTGCTTCCCGTCTCTCGCGTGGACGTGCGACGCTATGAGAAAGAGAGAGTGAAAGAGACAAAGAACGAAAAAAGAGAGAGAAAACGGTTAGAGAGAGCTTCTTATTGAAAGATTGTACTTAAACTTTAGCAACTAAAGAGGGCATTGGAGACATATTTCTGCATGTATGCAAGGAACAATACATGTCGACTTTTCTGCTGCTTCACACGTTGTGTTGTATCGATTATCATTTCAGTAAATCGTAGAGCAGTTCCATTTTCTGTGAGTTTGGATATGTTTTTGTGTAAATTATGAAACGAGGTAATTTGTATCTTATCTGTCCCTTTTTATTCGAGAAGGTTATGCAAATTGATTATTAACTTGCAAATGATAAAAAAGCTTAGAATATATTTGTTTATTATTAATTAGATGTTTTCGTTAACATTCTATTTCAATTTTCTAGACAGGATTCAGTAACTAGAATACTTCATATTCCTTCGTGCATACATTTTAGACCGGATAATATAAATAATCATATATGTATATAACAGTATATTAATTGTAAATATATATCACGGGACATCATACTCTAATTTCAGTAAATTTGTAGTATTTTCTTGTTAAATATATTTATCATCGAAGAAAACATTATATAAAAACATAAAAACACAATCTCGTAACCGATAAACGCTCATAGTTGGTATTGAACAGAATCTAAGAAAGTATGAATTTCATACATGGCGCCAACTACGCTTAGTTGTAAAGATCACTATCAGATGGCGTGGCAATTTGGGCGCCTCTTGTATACACGGACTTCCCAGGCCCTGAACTTAGTCGCGCGCGGTGAACGTTCCGTCCTACTGTCGAATCTTCGCGCGCGTCTCGTCAACAGTGACAGTTCGAAAACTTCTTTCACATGGAATGTGAAACGTGACAAACTTTGTTTATAGTGTGTTGCTTTATCATTCAGCTTCGCGATTAATCGTTTGATGAAAAAGCAAATTGTCGAAGGACCGTGAGTGCGTATCGAACGACAATATCAACGAGGATTTATACATTGAGTGATATCGTGTGTCTTATGTGTATCGGCCGTGCGTGCTATACGCTATATACTATCGAACGTATCGAATTGAGTGAAACTGTGAAACGATCGGACAATCGACGCGAAGCTTGGTACATCGTTGAAAAGTATAACCGGCGTTGTTGTTTATACAAGACAGAACGAAGTTAAGCGCGCGGTGCAGCGGTGTCGAGGCGCGAACGACGCGACGACATATTCCAAATGCGTCTTGACCGGAAGTTGAGGATCGTCACATTGGCAGGGTGGCAGAGGATGCCCGGCTGGAGGGCAACGGCGGGAGACGAGGTCGCAGCAGTAGCAGTAGCGTGCGTCAGGCGCTTCGGTAGCAGAGGTTCTCACTGAGCTGGCTTACCCTGCAGTGGATTTAGGGGGCTGTATGGAGGCCGGGGGG